GAGGCTCAGGTGAGCTAAAGGACTCTCTGAGTGTTTAGATAGTTAACTGTAGTCTAAGTTATCTCAGTGGGTCTCAAACGGTTTGGTCACAAATTATTCAAAAGATTATTTCTGTGGCACACCTTCATATGATCATTATAGTTTTAAAACAAATAAGAGAATAAAGGAAAAACAGTTATGAAATACTCTATGGCAGTAAAACAAGAATACAGTTTGAAAGGGGAGTGATTTGTAACATATCCATAAAGAAAAAGAACATCTGCTTACAGTTGTGTTTCATCTGGGTGTTGAGAGATGTATCCATAGATCTCTTAATGTTGCTCTCAAAGTGCACCAGATTGATGCTTTTAACTTCAATATTTTAAAAAAAATCTTCCCGGGGAAGCATCCCCCCGGACTCCCCTAGAGGAGGGGAGGTCCGCTCCCCACTAGTAAAAAATAGCACTTTACCCCTGCCTATATGCCGTGAGCTGATTATCGAGCCTTCATTGTAACAGTCGCGGGTGTACTGTGTGTTTGCGTGTGGGGATTGCCTTTGTGCGTGCTCTATAGTGCCTGTAATAGTGTTCACTGGAGTCCAGCACCTCAGCACCCCCACTCAAAATACCTTCCCGCGCCTCTGATAGCGGGGCCCAGCACGTGAACTCGCCTCGCAGGTGCACAAGCCAGGATAGAGGACATCAGACTCCAGAGAAAATTTGCTTGAGTCCGAGTCCAAGTCAGAGCGTCAATGTACAAGTCGAGTCCGAGTCATCGTGGGGGGAAAAATGCATGAGTCCGAGTCCAAGTCGGCGTACACGATAATTCACGAGTCCAAGTCATCGTGCGCGAGAATTCACGAGTCCAAGTCCGTGTCGCGTCAATCAGTGCGCGAGTCTGAGTCGAGTCACGAGTCCTGAAAATCGGCACCCGAGTCCGACTCGAGTCTAAGTCCAGGACTCGAGTATTCCATCTCTGCTTCATACTGTCTTTGTCTTTTTCATCCTGCATTTATTGTGCCCCCCTCAGAAAATAACTGGCCCCAGCGTGGCCCCCCCAGTCAAATTGGTCTAGAACCGCCACTGATTCTCACAGCGTTATAAACCTTTTTCTTACTCAATATCAAGCCACACTTATTGTTTTTACTTCGACTGTGAGTGTGTGTGTGCTCAGGATGAGTTTCGCTTGTTCCCGCTGTATCGCCGACCCGGAAACCACACCAGTAAACCAGCTTACTGAGCAGTGAGACTCGCAACGTCCCGACCAATCAGAGCACACTGGGCTCACAGGGGGGGAGCTCCAACAAGCCGTGTAGGACAGAGAGTGAATACACATACTTTACAGAGATGCTGTGAGAAACCAATGTGAGTTTGGAATACTGCACAATATAAATCTATTCTAGTAGACCTCAACAATGGAATTATGATCAGTAGAAATGGCCATGACATGGACCTTTAAAACACTATTGAGTTTAGCAATGTTAAGTGGTTGTATTAGATACAAACTGGCAATAGATAAGTCACACTTTTTGAATGATCAAATGAATGTATTTCTATCAAAGATAATGGGTCTTATTAGATGTTAATGGATGTATTTTCTTATTTCTCCTGCTCCTTATGTTGAGGGCAGGCCCACATTCAGTTTCCATTTCAACCCACAGTGTCCTGCATGTTGTTGGGCTACAGAAGAAAAACCCAAAAAACGTACAGTACATATGATATACAACCCAATCAAAAAATCTATAAAATTATCTTTGATAAAAAGATTTACATTATGAATTTAGATCAAAGATAATGGGTATTTTTCAATATTCAAGGATGCCTTTTTTATTTTTAAATGCATATCGCGTTAAACCGCGGACACACATTCAGTTTGCATTTTGACCGCCAGTATCCTGCGTGTTTTTGGGTTGCAGAAGGAGACTGAAAACACATGAACACAGGGAGGACATGCAAACAGCATCTGGTCATCAGATACAAACTACAAAACGTTCTTTGCCCACCACCGAGTCAAAATGCCAACTCAATTCTCCCCGACTACAAAACTATTCTGATGTGTTGCACTTTAACAAAAAACACTGCACACATGGCAGAGACATAGACAATCAAAAATGGTTCACACACACACACACACACACACACACACACACACACACACACACACACACACACACACACACACACACACACACACACACACACAGACACGCATTGGACGCAGTGAGAATGACAGAAGCAGCTGCCGGCGTGATCTGGGGGTCATGTTAGATCACAACATGGAGGAAAAAACAAATTCTTTCACCCAGGGGGGGGGGGTCTCTGAAGTGAGTTAGTGGATCACATGGTTATACAAGGATCAGTGTGTGTGTGTGTGTGTGTGTGTGTGTGTGTGTGTGTGTGTGTGTGTGTGTGTGTGTGTGTGTGTGTGTGTGTGTGTGTGTGTGTGGTCCCATGACATGCTTGAAAAGTTGAACTTTTCTCAACTTTCGAAACGAGCAACGGAGGCAAAGCGACGGAACCACAATGCAGTTCGGCAAAGCGTGACGTCGCCCCATTCAAAATCAATGGGAAGCTTCTCCGTTGAAGCACGCTGCCGTGTGGATGTACCGTGAGTGTGTGTGTGTGTGTGTGTGCTCAGGCTGAGCTCCGCGGTGTCTCGCTGTCTCGCAGACCCCACGCAGCAACCAGGAAACGACACCAGTAATCCAGCTCACCCTGTCCGCTCCTCGAGCCTCAAAGGGCGGAGCAGCGAGCCCCGCAACGTCCCGCCCACACGGCACCCAGACCCCACGCAGCATTCTCGTCCGTTTGTCATTACTGGTGTCATTTTCTGGTTGCTAACAAACGCCATTGTAAAACATAAACACTGATGTTCTGCTGTAACGGTGGTGGACTCATCAGAACAGAGTGGGCGAGCTGACCAATCAGAGCACAGTGGGCTCACAGGGAGGGGGGGGGGCAGGAGCTCCAACAAGCCGTTTAGGACAGAGTGAATACACATATAGATGCTGTTTGAGAAACCAATGTGAGTTTGGAACATTGAACAATGTAAATCTATTCTAGTAGACCTCGACAATGGAATTGGGATCAGTAGAAATGGCCATGACATGATGGAGCCTTGAAGTAGATAAATATTAACCTTTTTCAGACGGGGATACTGGTTTTTATTTTTCTTTGGGGATTTTCAGGTAGCTATACGAAGGTTTACCTGATTAGGGTGAACTTACCATCATATATTGTATAATTTGCTTTAAATAAGTGAGCCTGACAAGTAATTTAAATTTGGGAATATAAGTGTACTGATTATATTGGGAAAATAGACATAATATTTATCCTTAAGTTAAAAGATAACCAAAACCAAACTATTATACTCCTTTAAAATGGGGGGGGAAGTGAAAAATATATTAGGTTAAATTACCTCGGCTAAAAAGAGCAGTTTTAATTCATGAAATATTTGTTATTCTTTTTTTATTTAATTACATTTGTCTTCATGTTAAATAATAAGTGCTTCTGGATTTAAGGCTTCTGATAGGGATTGTAACTTTCTTTAAAATTAGGGTAAGGGTTATTTATACTTTATGTAAAAACATGAGTTTGTACAGTGGAATAAAATACTGTGTATTGTACAGAAGAGAAAATTAGGAATGTTACTATTGTGTGTACTGCTCTAAAATGGAAAATGGAAGAAAATGTGTGTAAGGCTAACAACCACACCTGGCAAATGTGTGTGTGTGTTTATCAAACATTACGGATTTTTTTCAATTTAGAAAACGGGACAAATGACAATTATTGAAAGAAAAATGTTGCTTATTTTAATGTGGATGTATTTGAATTGAGCTGTATGTATAGAGCAAACAGGCAGGCGTAGGTCCAAAAAATCACTCAAAAATCATTCATTATCTGAAATACCATTAAAATAGTTCCATTTAACTACACTCTGGGGTGTATTAAAGAAATACTAGCCCTTTCAGTGCAGCGCGAGGAGGCTTCATTAATACAAATAATGTCTCGGCATTGGAATTTTTTGCAGGTGTGATTTGTCTTCATCTTTAATGGTATGGACTAATTAAGAAAGCAAACAGTGTGAGTGTATACGTGTGTGTGTGTGTGTGTGTGTTTGTGTGTGTGTGTGTGTGTGTGTGTGTGTGTGTGTGTGTGTGTGTGTTTGGTTGAAGCGTGTTCACATCTGCACGCCAAAGTGTGTGTATCAGCAGGAGTGTTTGTGCACACCACAGGTGATTAGAGTGCTTGTACTTTTCCAGAGTGTGCGTGTGTGTGTGCGTGTGTGTGTGTGTGTGTGTGTCTAGGTGTCTCCTCATTGGCTGAATTATTCAAGCTTGGCAAACTGAGCTGACAAGACTATGAGTGATCCTGCACGTTGTTATTGACTTAGACTTTATTTATAGAGTGTGTGGTCCCCGCTGCAGACACGATTAATCAGAAGAATGTTATAATTAGGCTTAATACCCCTCAGGCTGCATGAACACACACACACACACACACACACACACACACACACACACACACACACACACACACACACACACACACACACACACACACACACACACACAGAAACAACACTATGTGAACATGAACATAATGTATGAATGCATGTGGTGCACAAACACACACACACAGAGTGGGCCCTGTGTGTGTGGATGGTGGATGGGTTGCAGAGGTTTTTTGGAGAGACTGTTTGTCCAAATCGCTTTAAGGCTTGTTCTCATTGGAGAGGTTGTTAAACAAAAGTCAGTTTGTTACAGTAGCGGGGGTGCAGGGGGGGTATTAATACACACCAATGCAGATGTCCGGGCGTCTGTGAGAAAGCCTGTTGTGTTCAGTGTCCAATCCAATGTCTTTGGCCTATTTTGGTTGCAGGGTTCACATGAAAAGTACACATTTGTCTCCGAGTGTATTCTTCTGAAGAATCACTTTGTGTTTCTCAAAAATAAACACAAAGACTCTATTTCGTTATTAATGGCCATCGGAGGAACTGAAATGAATAAAAACACATGCGGCTATTTTCAGAATTTTTATTTCATTATAAATAGTAGTGATAATGCGCTTGTACACATGACGTTATGTCATATCGCTTTGTCAAAATAATACAACAAATATATCAAAGGAATGAAAGGACTGGTTCATTCTAACATAGACAGATGTACAACACAAGCTTATGAAGGCGCTCCGTTATTCAGATGGAAAAGTATTGCCACTCACTTGTACATTGTGGGAAATTGTACATAAGATAAGATAAGATGGACTTTTATTAATCCCTCGTGGGGAAATTGTTTCTCTGCATTTGACCCATCCTAGTGTTAGGAGCAGTGGGCTGCCATATAGAACGGCGCCCGGGGAGCAGTGTGGGGAACGGTGCCTTGCTCAGGGACACCTCGTAGCACTTGGTCTTGCCGAGACTTGAACTGGTGACCTTCCAGTTGCCAAGCCAAGTCCCTATCGACTTCGCCACCACCGCCCCATACATACATACAGAACATTTGAGACAATAAATATGTCTGGAATGCGTTACAAACCCTAATTGTTGTTTAAATGCAAAATGAAAACATAGAAAAAGGTCCCAAGCAACACAAAAATATAAACTTAAGTACAGTTTTGGCTTCGTCATTCCTGGTGATCTTCTGTTCACATTCCCTTGATTCATGATACACTGACACTGTGCTTTACAGCGGTGTTAACAATGTTTCTGAGTTGTTTTTGGACAAAGTCACATGTGTTGTTCCCAAACTACACCCAGAGAATGAATCCATACTGTTTCGTAAGACTTTAACAAGTGTGATATGATATTTTGACTTCAGGTCAGTTGGGGGAATTATGTTCTTTCGTCAAAACTCTAACAGTTTCTCAATTGTTTGTCGGTCATGACTCGTGAGTTATTTGGCTTTGTCAATCCTTGTGATTTTCTGATTACATTGGGATTACCTCGTGTGCTTTGAGAGCATAAACAATGTTTCTGATTTGTTTTTGGACAAAGATACATGTGTTGTTCCCAAACTACATCGAAACAATCATTCCAAACTGTATCGTAATACTTTAAGAGGTCAGATCGAGGTCGACTCAAAGAGACACTTTACTTCTGGTCAGCTGGGAGAATGAGTGAAGTCAAAACGCTCTGGGTTCCTCAGGCATCTTCTCCTCATGACTTGTGACCTGGTGGTGCAGCTTTGGCTTTTTACTGGTGATTTTACGATTACATTAGCATTCCCTTGATTCATGTTTTAAGTCCTAAAAATGTGGTCCTCAGTGTGCTTTTAGAGCGGCATTAACAATGTTTCTGATTTGTTTTGGACAAAGACACATGTTGTTCCCAAACTAGATCGAGACAATAAGTCCAAACTGTTTCGTAAGACTTTAACAGGTACGTTTGATTAATTTTAATATTGTTTTAAAGGTTGAGGTCGACTCGAAGAGACACTTTACTTCTGGTCAGTTGGGAGAATGGCCGTCTTCAGTCAAAAGCTTTGGCTTTTTCATTCCTGGTGATTTTTCGGTTATATTGACATTCCCTTGATTAGTACACCGACTAACATCCTTACAAATGTGGTCCTCAGTGTGCTATTACAGCAGTATTAACAATATTTCTGATTTGTTTTCGACAAAGTCACACGTGTTGTTCCCAAACTACACCCAGAGAATGAATGCGCACTGTTTCGTAAGACTTTCGGAGGCAACATTGATGTTTTTTTCAATGTTTAATGGTGCGTTAGACTACAAGATATATGATATTGCACTTCTGATCAGTCGGGAGAATGGTCTAAACTCTTGGTTTCTCAAGTGTCTCTCGGTTTACTTGTGACCTGGTTGTACAATTTTGGCTTTTTCATTCCTGATGGTTTTCTGTTTTCATTGGCCTTCCCTTAATTCATGCATTTCCTTACAATACGCAACATGTAAGTCCTGACAAATGTGGTCCTCAGTGTGCTATAATGGCAGTTTTAATAATGTTCCTCATGTGTTTTAGACATAGTCCCATGTGTTCATCCCAAACTAGACCCAGAGTTATAATCCAAACTGTTTTGTAAGACTTTAAGAGACACGTTTCTCATTGTTTTTACGAGGAGTTAGGGTTAGGATTAGGGTTCTGGACTCTAAGATACATGATATTGCACTTCTGGTCAGCTGGGAGAATGGCAGTCTTTAGTCTAAACTCTCTCGGTTACTCAAGTGTCTTTCGGTCGTGACTTGTGACCTGGTGGATTTTTCTCGCCGGGAGAAGATCTTTAAAGGATTTTAAACCCTGTGATCGATCTTGCTTATCCACCCCCCCCCACCCCCTTTTCCCCTTCCTTTAAAGACATTTCTCCGCCGCCCTCCTCTCCTGCTCTCTCATCTGTCATTTTCCCTAAAGTCACCCCTTGACCTCCTCCGAGGTCCTCTCTAAAAACTACAAAAGGCCGGGATCCCTGCCTCACCGTCCGAAACATCAATGAGACAGAAGGAGTGAGACAGAAAGGCGAGAGGAGAGGGGGAGACAGAGGGGGGAGGAATGTGTGAATGAACTTTCACTGCAGTACAGCTGTGGTGTACATTAGAGTCTCTAACACAATAAAAAAAAAACTCAGATTCTCACGTTTGTTTTTCTCTCTCTGTGGAATGTCTCTCCTTGTGTGGGATGCGGAGATAAATTATTTTAAAAAATCAACAAAGCCCTTTTCTTTTCCCCTTTGAGCAGATATAACTTGGGGATTAAATTGGAGATACATGACATTTCATACATGTGGCCCTAAAATATGTAAACATGTTCCTTTAAGCATCGCCTCAAAGGATGGCAGATTATGACGTAGAGATTTGGGTTTTGCTTTGCTCACAAACACCCCAGAGTCCATGGATATTGTTTTGGTCACTAAAGTGCCTCTTCATGGCTCTGTAGACGCTCAAAGCTCCACATCACCGACCCCATTAAGCGCTGACATCTCCGCCGTCAATGAATAGTTTTTGTTCGAAATCAGTCAACAGTTTTTGGTCTGATATTCCTTCTCGTGGTCCCTTCTTTTTTTTGTCCATTTCTCCAACAAGAATTAAAAAATATAAAGTCCTTTAGTAAAGAAAAGTGTCCTGGTAAATAGTAGCAAAATAAAAATTTGGTCCAGATTTGAAAAGATTCCCATCGCTGTACACATAAATGTCCCTGTGTGAAGTCTGGAGCTCTGGATCAGGTGATTTCAGGCCTCAGATAAGAAAGGGCACCTGTAAAGAAAAAGGACGAAACGTTTGTTAGTTCACTTGTGAAAGCATATCTAAAATAAATACACGGTTAAAACATTTATTTTCACGTTTCCCCCATTTTAAAGGGGTTTAATAGTTTGGTTTTGATTTTCTTTTAACTTGAAAAGTAAATATTATGTTTATATTGCCAATACAGTCAGTAAACATGTATTCTTTATTGAAATTACTTGTCAGGCTCTCTAATTTGGGGCCATCCAAGAGATGAATGGCCCCAATACATTTCAGGCACATGTTTTAGCTTGCCTTCGACATATGGCTACTGTTAGCATAGCATTTGCTAACAGTGGTTTGGAGGGTTATGGCAATGAAGGACTTTGATTTCGAAAACAAAGAGTAGTGCGAAGATGCTTTGATTTAATAAAATACACTCAGAAGCCCCCGTCCACATGGAGATATCATCTCCATGTGGACGGGGGCCTTAGAGTCATTGCGGGCCTATTGATTTGAACACGATCCGTGTATCCATCATTTCCTGGAGCCTATACTACGAATCAGGATTTTCATTTAGCAAGCTAACTTCAGGGATTTCCAGTCCTACGAAGCTGGTTCACTTTTTAGCAGGCTAGATAACTTATGGAGCAGGATAGGTTCCAGGATAAGAGATCAACTCAGTGAAAGCACCGCCTGCTGACCAATCAGAGCTCAGTGTGCGGAGGAAGTCCAGTTTAAACTGCCGTTGCAGGAAAGACGCACTGGAAAAATCAAATGTCTTGGTTATGATTTAGGATATTTGCATTTTTTGTGTGCGACATCACACAACTCCATCCAACAACATTTTTATCAAAAAAAGTAATATTTTATTTAGACTTGTTATGAATTATACGTTTTGAAATTTTGATTTCCCTCCATACTGCTTTCAACCCTCCTCTACAAAGCTTGCAACATGATTCTAGTACAAAACCTCTGAATAATACAATGTGTGTATTGTACCTAAGTTGTACAATTAAATATTTGTTAGGTCGAAACATACTTGAATAACCATAAAAAAAAAACATCCAATATATATTTTTGTTTACAGAATGTAGCTGATCCCTGAAAGCAAGAAGTTCCTTCAATGTACTGATCACAAAACCCTTGTGAATTATTGGCATTAGATTTGACATCCGATTTTCTGTATGTCCAAAAATCTGATTAATACAGATATTCATTTCATGGCCACTTATTTTCAAATAGTTTGCTGCCATATTTTCTTCTCCCCTGACTTTATTTAAAGCAAACATGCATACGAATAATATAGCAATAATAATTTCCTTTGGCAAAGATTAAAACGTAATTATAACACCAAACATTTAAGATATGGTCTACGCATGAATAAAGAAATGTACAGCATGACATCCAAAGAGGTCTAACTTGTCAAACCATACCTCCCTATAACAAAACCTTAATATGTTCATTATTTAAGAAATGAAGTCACCATTTAGATAGATTCCTACTATAGGTCAGTTCATCCAAATAAGGCTTATGTGTTGCCAATATTTCGACAATGTGACGGGAAGTTGCGTGCAAAAATGTCCTGTGAGACAGCAGTCACTTTTCCTACGTCAACATGCTACATTTTCAATTTTGTGTGGGTCTTAATGCATCGGTGGAAACAGACGACAACAGTCTTGGAAACCTTTTGGTTCCTTGACAAGTCCTGGGAACTTTAGGTGGAAACCTGGTGCAATTGACAGGTAACCGCAACAGTATGGCCAGCTTAGCAACAGACACATTAACATACTAAAAAACAAACAAGTAATTCATGGATCAGCACTGTAGTTTCCGAGAGGCTTTCCAGTGAGAGCAATGTAGTCTTAATTTAAAAACTGCTTCCCTAAGGTCTTTAAGGTCCTGCTACTATTTACATGCCCCCCCCCCCCCCACTCTATTTTTAATCCCTCACACACACACACTGTTTTTGTTTTCTTTTTTGTCTCCATGTATATTTTGTAATTTGTCTTTACTTGTAAATTCACCTTCTTCCAGAGGTGGGAAGTAGTGGAGTGCAAATACTTTCTTACTGTACTTAAGTACATTGTTCTGGTATCAGTACTTTACTCCACTAGTTATTTTTCTGACAACTTTGTACTTTTACTTCTTACATTTTGAACACAGGCTGGTTATTTTAGTTTTAATCTGTGTTTGGTGGCGTGATCATCATTATTTAGGCCCCACATGGAGACGAAACGGAGACAAAAACGAACCGAATTCGATATCAAAAGAGTCTTCCGTCCACACGGAATCGGCTCAAGAAACGTGTCCGTCCACGCAAGACCGCTCGACCCGCTGGAGACGCTGTAGTACATATGCCGGGCCTGTAAGTGGCGCTGTACTTCCGCCACAAAATACACCAAAAGCAGCGAATAAGAGCGATGGCGATTATTAATATTATTATTATTATTATATTATATTATTATTGTTGCTGATGGTTGTGGTAGAGGAGCTGTAGATTTTGCACTGAAATCTGTATCATGGTCAGTAGCGTCTGGAGCACGAAAGCAATCCTGTGATCCGCCATTGTTGTTGTTGTTGGCGAAACGCATCAGCAATGACGCGGGGGTGAGCAGGAGAGGTGGAGAGTCGGTGCTATGACGTCATCGTTTTCAGGGAATGATCGTATAGCCACACGGAGCCGCTTCGTCCTCAGACCTACCCACTTTGGGAGCCGTTATCAACGTGTATCGGATTCAGGCTCCGAATCCACGTTTCCGTGTCGGCCTTGTGTGGACGAACCGTCTATACGATAGAGAACGTTAGCGGATTCAACTGATATCGTCTCCATGTGGACGGGGGCCTTAGAGTCATTGCGAGCCTATTGATTTGAACACGATCCGTGTATCCATCATTTCCTGGGTCCTATACTACGAATCAGGATTTTCGTTGAGCAAGCTAACTTCAGGGATTTCCGGTCCTACGAAGCTGGTTCACTTTTTAGCGGGCTAGATAACTTATGCTGAGCGGCTAGCCTGCGCCGGAGCAGGATAGGTTTCCAGGATAAGAGATCAACTCAGCGAAAGCACCGCCTGCTGACCAATCAGAGCTCAGTGTGCGGAGGAAGTACAGTTTAAACTGCCGTTGCAGGAAAGACGGCCGGCCAAAATCACCGACTGTGTGAACGTGAAAATGAATAGAATATCACCTCCCATCTATTACAACTATTATACTATTATTATACTATTATGTTAAGAAAGCTTAATTAAATATCTGCCACAACATAACCGGATCAAAGTAACATTACGTAGCCTGCAGTCCGCGGCACTGTGAGTGCAGACGTCGATGTGTCCCATTATCATTCATATCACATCATAATGTATCATATATTTCCTTATCTGAGTCAGCTGAGCCGTATCTGGCCGTGCAACACTCACAGTGTCACAGACTGTATGCAGAAGTATTATTTTAACACATTAAGTTGACGAAACACTCGAGACAAATGTAATTAAAGTCAGATCGTGTCTTAGACGGGGCAGTGATATCATAAACCTGTTAATGTACGCATTCAAACGCTTGTTCTGTTACCAGCTGTATTCACCTTGCAGGTGCAGCTCTGTGGCTTTGATCCTGGATAAAGTGTTTACGTCATGGATGTTTAAAGTTTAACTTCTTCATATGTCTAATATTATAGTTCACTTTTCATTCAGGAAGTATGACGCTGCGCTGTCAGTACGCTTCTCCATGTTTGTGATTGGTCGAATGCTCCAGATACCACCCCTTTCATGTGAACGCGCACCTAACTAGATAGGACACGAACGAGTTGATAGCTAGCGTCGTAGGATAGTTTAGCGAGAGCGGCTTTGTTTTGGATGAAGTCAACCAGCTAACTCAAAACATATCCAGGATATGTTGAACTAGATTCGTAGTATAGGCCCCTGGTCTTCTCTAAAGAAGACCAATGGAAACGTTGTCATGTTGCCGTTGTTCAGCATGGAAACATTCATTAGCTAACAATGACATTGTTGTTCTATTAATATAAAGGGAGGTCAGGTACTCTTTAAAGCAGCTGCTAGTTATGGGTACTTTTTACTGAAGTACATTTCAAAGTCTTTACTTTGACTTGAGTAAAGAAGTTTAGTCAGTACTTCTACTTTCACCAGAGTATTTTTAAACACGAGTTCTACTTGAGTAAATGATGTAATGGTGTACTTTTGCCATCTGTCTTCTGTGTATCTGTGACACTGTACTTGTATGCACTTGTCTTGTAACTCCTATATCACTAAATAAAAACATTTAAAACAAAAAGCTGCTTCCCCAGCTGACCTCAGTCAGAGCACCTGTTTCTAATCGCCGCCCTGCCAGAGGCTATTAGGATCCGTCCACCCCCAGAAAGGACCTTTCCTCTGCTGCTCCAAACCCAACCGCACACATCCAGTCGCACTGATTAATCACATCAAGATGGCCTGTATCGCTGCGGAGGTGTGTGTGAGTGTGTGTGAGTGCGTGTCCTATAGTGGAGTCTAAATGCACGAGCCGCATGCCAGAGGTTTTCAATGTGTGTCGCCCTAATTCTTTATTCTGATCACTTTGAGATATCCGACCGAGATATTCCGTTAGACATTTGCCGCTTTCGGATATTAAGTCAGATATTCATTTGATACGCGCAGAGCTCCATGCAGTCGGGCTCGTTTGGACCGCTGCCACGCTCTTTGAAGGAGGTTTTTCTTCGAGGTTGACACAAGGTCAGCTGATGAACCTGATTGGTCAACCCCCTGCGGACCGAAAATATTGGAAACGGCGGCCGCTGTAATCATGGCTGCTGTGACGAAGAACGACGTTGCCTTCCAGAGTTCGACGGAGACTTGTTTGAAGTTGATTTTAACCCTTAAACTAACAGTAATGTGAAGTGAAAGACCCTCTTACTGCTGGACAGGTAGGCTCTCTCACTTTCTCCTGATGGAAGCCGACTCTACAGTAACCGCAGATCTCAGTATCAGCGCTGTGCTAGATGGAATCAGATCTGCACAATTTACCCCAACACTCGAGACCGCATGATGAGAATCCAGAAAAAACTAGCCGAATTATCGCTACCTGCAGAAACCAGGGTTGTTGTAGGCTTTTTTGACATCGGTAAATAGTCCGATATTCATGAATTAAACTGTGTCCTCTGTTTGGGTATGATTTCCTTTCGTTGAATTCTTAAAACTGAAAATAAGTGAAAAACCACAAAAAAAACAGTTAGCGGTTTAAACAAAAAAAATTGAAATATCTCAAATCTTTTTATTTTCATTTTGGAAGAGAGGACTAGTTAGCTTGTGCATTGTCCGCAACTTGTTCATGAAATGATTCAGCTATGGCCGTGTAATGAGCATCAAACAACTTGTACATCAAGCTATGTTTGTTTTTCTTCTGTTCCCCAATTCTCACACTTTTTTGTGTTTCTAACCCAATTTTTATCAAAACTTAAAATGAAATTGCTTTTATTCCTTTTGTTGTGCTCGTCTTTGCATGAATTATCTGTTAAACCTTTTGGTAGTTTTTGATGAGTGAAGAGTATTATCATTGGATACGGTATCTAGTATCGTATCGTATGTTGATTGTGTGTGTATTGTGTTTTATGCATGCTTCAACATTAAGCTGTCTTTGGCTCTTTTCTGCTGTAACAAATGTACATTTCTCCTCTGTGGGACGAATAAAGGTATTCTGATTCTGATTGATGCGGAAATAAAAAGTGAGGAGTCTATTGACCTTACTTTGTCCGTACTGGCCGTACTGGTATGACGCCATGTGGTCCACGGTGTACCCCGGGGAGCTGTAGGAGGCAGGGCAGTAGGACTGGGAGCTGGGCAGCGAGGGCAGCGCCGCCATGTTGGGAACGCTGGTGAGACCCTCCAGACCCTTAATGTGATCCATGCGCTGACTGCAGCTGGCCGACATGCCGGGCTCCAGGCCTCCCGTCAGAGGGGAGATGGCGTAGTCGCTCTGGGGCTGATGAGGCACTCCTCCTGGGTTCAAAAGACCCATCACCTGGTGGAAAAGAGAAACAAGTTGAGGGTTAAATTAGTTGAAAGGTTTATTTATGCCAGAGCAGTGTGAGAGGCCCTGATGTTAGTGAGACATGTAGGGTAGTTGATATACACTTAAAGGGGCAATAAACCAGATTTTGGTTCATATGATTATGAAATAAATTATAATAATAATAGTACAACATTCGGATAGCTTCTGTAGTTTTTTTTTTGGAGTTGTAAGCTGTTTTGTTGAGTTGCCTCTCTAATATGTGACATGTTTAAATCTAGGGATGTCATTGTGAAAGGGAAAACTTAAGAAAAGGTCAATATGCTGGGACATTTTTTTAGTTGTTAATTTTACTGATAATTTCTGATCAGCTCAGACCATTTTGAATATGAAGTAAGCACCACTTAAAATATTTAACTTAACTTGTTTTATTGTTTTATTATGCTTGTGTGCATCTGTATCTAATCAAAACATTTAGGCTCTGAAAACATTTGATTTTTAAATTAATCAATGTATAGATTAATCAGTTGCCTCAATTTCTGATAATCTGGTCATTGAGTTTACAGTGTGCCTCCTGATCTCCCTTTCACAGTAAGGCTCTTGACATTAACACTGCAGCCTACGAGAGAGCATTTTGCTGAGAGGCCACTCAACATAATATCCTACAGAAGCTATCCCCAGGTGGAACAACAAAACAATGTAATACAACAATATTTATACTACGTAATTATTAATACTACCAGATTTTACGATGCATTAATCATGACACTGACATCATGGGTTCAGACAGTAACGTTAGCCAGGCTGCTATGTTATTCATGATGATAATTATATATGATGTGGACAAATCGGACAGCAATTATTAAATGAATGCACTGTGTTGGTAGCTTTGAGAAAAAACTGATGAGATTTGGTTGTCTTTGTGACAGCCTCACCAACAATAACTACTTCAATGGGGATTTTTTTGTATTACAGTGATTGGCCTAACCCTAACCCTAACCCTAGATGTAAAAAAATGTGATTTAGTTTTTACAGACAAGAACAGCATCATATGAGGAATAGAAGTTTTCTTTGTTTTGTTTTTAGTTTCTGAGAAGGCCCTAATATAACTTTTTTGGAAACAAGCACATGACTGTTTGTAATACGTATCAACACACACACACACACACACACACACACACACACACACACACACACACGCTAAAACACACATAGGAAATCCCCCTGTTGAGGAACATCAAAAGGAAAAGCCGGCGCAGACTGAGATAGCAGCAGAAAGGAAGAATTAAGCAATTTGTCTCAGATCCACGGCTCCACTTATTCCAAAATTCCTTTTTGACACTGCTCCAAAAAACCCGTGGCGCGAGATAACAACTCATGTCGGGAAAAGATACGCCGTCAAAGATAACACAGCAGAAATGTCTTTGAGCGCGGCTCTGTTGAATAGATTTGAAGTTCGAGAAATCCGTTAGCTCTTGACCTGGTCTTTATTAGCAACCAGATAATCAAATTTGGGGGGGAATATTCCTTGGCTAGCAAAGGACGGAAAAGCGCCGTGGGCCAAGCGTTTCAACTGGTCTCAAAACAGACGCGAGACCACCGACCCCCTCCTCGACACTCGCTCACTTTACCTGTCCGTCATCAAAGAGCTCAGTAAACCGTTAATAAGACATCCAGACTGTCTTTATCACTTATGAAAGTAGCTCTAAGTGAATCTGCTACCTCTAAATGTATCATATCCCACCTCCTGCTCTGCAGAGCGAAAGGCCTCCAGGCTCCTGCAGTCGCGCTTAATAAGAAGCAGGTACGCTGCTCTTTGGGTCCTCTTTCCCTCTAAGTGACATATTATTATACATCCACACACACACATGGTCCTGCTTAAATCATTTCCCAAGCAGGGGAGGTGAGTGGAGGAGACCATGTTGATTTGGAAAGGGGAGTTGTGTTTCCTCTCATGCCCGGTAACATTTTCCTTAAAAATTAACCTGCGTTTGGAGTTGTTTTAAACAGAAATAGAGTGAGGAAAGGTCTCGGATTAAACGAGCCTCGTGCAGACGTTATGCAGATGACTTTTCATTTATTTAACCAAACTTTCTACCCATAATCCTCATGGTTTCATATTGGAAACCTGCAGTTGCCAGCGGCCTGAATCAGTGCGTCCAGGAGTTAGCAGGAAGAATGTCTGGATGGGGGTAAAACATCTGAGACGGGACACATTCCTGCCCGGCTGTACGAAATATATACAAATAAATTACAGCCTATGCTTTCACGTGGAAGAATGTCGAGGCAAACATTTTAAGAATGCAATCACGAGAGGCTTCCCTCGAGGATATAGAAGAGCGTGGAGTGTGTAACAGTGTTTGTACACACACACACACACACATACCATGTATACATCACTTCAGGGGACATTACATTGACTTACATGCATTTCCTGGAGACTTATCCTAACCCTAACCATGACCAACACATGCCTAACCCTAACCCTTACCCTAAACCTTACCCTTAACCTTACCCTAACCCTTACCCTTAACCTAAGGGTACCCTAATCCTAACCCTAACCAAGTCTTCACCCTAAAATTAATGATCCCCCTTATGGGGACCTCCAATTTGTCCCCATAAGGGAAGCCAGTCCCCACACGTGACTGTGTAAACAGATGTAGGTCCCCACAAGTATAGTAATGCTAGACCACACACACACACACACACACACGACCATGAATACCTCAATACAAGACATTTATGTTTGAAAGCATACATGATGCTTGTTTGAGGACTCGCCAAATGTGATATTATGTCTTATTTAGATACTCAAGACATACTTTCCACTGTTGCTATACTGTATCTACTGTTCATGTTTAGGTGTATTGTTTATTTCATTTTATTTTTAACTAATGTGCAATGCCTTGTAAACATGCTGCTGTCAAAAAAACTATTTCCCAATTTGTGAAAATAATCCTTTTGCAAAAGAAAAAAAATGTCCACTATTTTTGTGTAGCAACACGTCAATTTCTGCGTGACAAACCCATACAGTCTTTTTGAAATCTTAACGGACAACTTGACGTCAGTTAAAATGTATACGTGACTAAGACATACAATACAGCACACAGACAGCAGTCTCTTGGTGTTTTTCGACCCACCAATCAATTGATCCTTCTCCCGAAACAGACTTTTTCGTTGTCTTGTTTACTATTAGGTATCATATAAATAGATTTTGTGGGATATACTCATTCAACAAAAAGTCATAACTTCTTTGTGAATAAAATTGCTCCTTCATCCCTGTTCTACTTCTGTGTTTGATATAATAATAAAAGTACAGCAACCAATCTTCCAATCTACACAGAAGGTTGAAGCTTAGCCACGCTGCTCAACCATGACGTGTAAAAGTCGTGTAAAAGATGTGACAAAATCCTCAGCTGATCCTCAAATTGTCATGCAGTGGATCAATTATCTCCACTCTGTGTGTGTGTGTGTGGTGTGTGTGTGTGTGTGTGTGTGTGTGTGTGTGTGTGTGTGTGTGTGTGTGTGTGTGTGTGTGTGTGTGTGTGTGTGGTGTGTGTGTGTGTGTGTGTGTGTGTGTGTCGGTATTCACACTGTTGCTGATCTCTGAGGAGTCAGGCTGTGCCAGGCTGAAATCTCATTTTCTGCCCGTTAGTGTCTCCTCTGTCTCCTCTGTCCTAAACCTCTGTCTCCTCTGTCTTAATCTCTGTCTCCTCTGTCCTAACCTCTATCTCCTCTGTCCTAACCTCTGTCTCCTCTGTCTTAATCTCTGTTTCCTCTGTCCTCACCTCTGTCTCCTCTGTCCTCACCTTTATCTCCTCTGTCCTAACCTCTATCTCCTCTGTCCTAACCTCTGTCTCATCTGTCTTAACCTCTGTTTCCTCTGTCCTCACCTCTGTCTCCTCTGTCCTCACCTTTATCTCCTCTGTCCTAACCTCTATCTCCTCTGTCCTAACCTCTGTCTCATCTGTCTTAACCTCTGTTTCCTCTGTCCTCACCTCTGTCTCCTCTGTCCTAAACCTCTGTCTCCTTTGTCTCAATATCTGTCTCCTCTGTCCTGAACATCTGTCTCCGCTGTCCTAACCTCTATCTCCTCTGTCCTAACCTCTGTCTCATCTGTCTTAACCTCTGTTTCCTCTGTCCTCACCTCTGTCTCCTCTGTCCTCACCTTTATCTCCTCTGTCCTAACCTCTGTCTCATCTGTCTTAACTTCTGTTTCCTCTGTTTCCTCTGTCCTCACCTCTGTCTCCTCTGTCCTCACCTTTATCTCCTCTGTCCTAACCTCTATCTCCTCTGTCCTAACCTCTGTCTCATCTGTCTTAACCTCTGTTTCCTCTGTCCTCACCTCTGTCTCCTCTGTCCTTAACTCTGTCTCCTCTGTCCTCACCTTTATCTCCTCTGTCCTAACCTCTATCTCCTCTGTCCTAACCTCTGTCTCATCTGTCTTAACCTCTGTTTCCTCTGTCCTCACCTCTGTCTCCTCTGTCCTTAACTCTGTCTCCTCTGTCCTCACCTTTATCTCCTCTGTCCTAACCTCTATCTCCTCTGTCCTAACCTCTGTCTCATCTGTCTTAACCTCTGTTTCCTCTGTCCTCACCTCTGTCTCCTCTATCCTTAACTCTGTCTCCTCTGTCCTAACCTCTGTCTCCTCTGTCCTAACCTCTGTCTCCTCTGTCCTAACCTCTGTCTCCTCTGTCCTAACCTCTGTCTCCTCTGTCCTAACCTCTATCTCCTCTGTCCTAACCTCTATTCTAGGTGCAAAGACTTCACGCCAGAAAATTGGCTGTAATGTCTTTTCACTTTCCATTTGTCACACACTCACTTGTCCTCTGTCCTTGTCGAGTCATCTTACTTTCCTCCTCAAACACTGAGAGTACATGTTAGGGTGGATTTATGTCATTGTTTGAAACATGACTTTTTAAAGCTCCCGATGTATTGTGTGAAGCTGGGCGTCTAAAGGGATATTATACATACCGCAAATACTTTCAACTATCTGAAATCCATCTCTAAAAGCAAGTACAGCGTCAAACACACACGTCTTATTCTTGTCAAATAAATGTTCTGCAAACGCACATATTTAGATAGTTAAGGTCAATTATCTTCATCGATTAAATCCACCACATCCTGTAATAAACTGTCCTATTTATGTAGAATTATTTTGTATTTTCTTCGTTATCATCTTCATATATTCCAATAAAATCATATTTTGTTTTTCAGAGTAAATTGTCCTATTCTTAATATATATGTTCTATGTATAATACACCAAAACAAATGTATTGGATGCCTACAAATACTTGGCTATTAACCTGATTCTTCTATTTAAACATTTTCCATTCTATATTTTCTATTTTGTATGTCCTCTTAACGGGTTTATTTAATGCGCTAAAACACAAAGAGAAATTCCTTGAGCGTGCAAACCATCATGGATAAAAACCTCATCCTGAGTCTCCTATAAAACCACATGTTTCTCTGGCTGCAGTCTCACCTGTGGAGAGAGTCCGTTTCCTAAGGAGGGGTTCATGCTGTTGGCCGGTCCTCCAGCGCTCACGAAGCCGTCCGAGTACCCGGAGAAGGAGTGTCGTCCGGAGGCCAGGCAGTACGGAGAGCCTCCTTCAACCTGACCTCCGACCCCTGACCCCTGGTGACCCGAGGAGGGGGGCAGAGGCTGGGGTCGGTGCAGCGTGCTGGGGGGCTCCGACACTACCAGGGAGAGTTAAAACACTTGTGAGGATTCTCTGTTATAAGTTGCAAAACGTATAAGTGGTTGGTGCTGGGATCAGAATGAAGGCAAGGCAAGTTTATTTATATAGCTTTCAACACAAGAGGCGCTTTCACACCGCAGTACTTTTCCCACAAAGGTTCATGAGAACTTAATAATAATAATAATAATACGTTTTATTTCGAGGCGCCTTTCAGGACACCCAAGGTCGCCTTACAGTGCATTTAAAAGTTAAAACAGCTAAAACAAAAACGGAACACAATTTAATCGAACCGACAAGGCAATACAGCAGCATAAAAGCATAAAACAGGCAAGACAAGAGTGTGGAGTGACGGAGTGAGAGGAGGATCCGTGATAGCAGGTTGAATGTGTGTTTTACTTCATGAGAACTCTTTAGTCCTCATGAACTAAGTACAGATCGCGTTACACCGGAATAAGTCCCTGAGGGAGGATTAGTCAAATGAAGCCGCTAACGTCACTTCTTCTTCTTCTTCTTTGGGTTTACTGGCAGGCCGCAAACCACTTCACGGCGTATACTGCCACCCGGAGTCCCGGCCGGAAGTCCCCGGAGTTGGGGACTGGCTTCAGTAGAAGCTGCTGGGACTCCCAGCAGCTTCTGCTCTCTAGCAGGGACGGAAAAGGGGGTAAAAAGGTTCTCATGGACTAATTTTAGTACCGGCTCTTTTTGGTGTGAACGCGACAAAAGAGTTCTCATGAACCTTTGTGGGAAAAGTACTGCGGTGTGAATGCGCCTAAGGCAATTCAAGGTGCTTTACAAAAATGAAAGACATTCAGACAAAGGCATTTTAAAACAGTAAAAGATAATAAAATAAACATTAAAAGAAAAAATACATGAATAAAAAGTTACAGTGCAGTTTAAGATGTGAATAGTTCACACAGAGGTTCCACTTTACTGATGAACACAACGGCTCAGTTTCAATTAAAACATACATATCCCACCCTGGCACAGGTGCAAAGCAAAATGGCTAGTAATGCAAACACAATTAAAACGTTAAAATAAAAGAACTGCTGGATTCAATATGAAAAGCAAATGTTCCGACTTTTTCTTATAATCGAAACGTATTTTATGAAGTCTTATATTTATTTCAATTTAACAAATGATTACAAAAAAAAGTTGGTAAAAAATACACTTTTAGTTTTTATTATTCAGCTCAGAAAGCCAGAAAAAAGTGAAAATAAAAAAATTAAAACATTAAAATAAAAGAAGAACAACTGCTGGATTCAATATGAAAAGCAAACGATTAATATACTCGAAAATATTGATTTCTGTGAAAAGTGCTATACTAAATAAACGTATTATTATTATCATCTCAATCTCAATCTTTATTTATTTATATAGTAAGGAAGAACAATTGATTTATAAAGGGCTTTTCGCAGACACTCACAAAGTGCTTGCCAAAGCATTAAAACATCATACGAATGAAGAAGTGCTAAAAACACAATACATTGTGGGAAAAAACAACCTCAGTTGTAAGTGCTGTATAAATACAATATAAAATAACACAATGGGAGTCAAATAATAAAACAATAATACAAACAAGTATTGTCTCATCTCTCACCTTGTGCTATGGACGAGGGGTATCCGCTGTCAGAGAGCTGGTAGCTGGACATGACGGAGGGGGGGAAGCCTCCAGGGATCAGGTGGTTAAACGCCATCAGCTGACTGGCTCCCGCCTGCTTCCTCCACCTCGCCCGCCTGTTGCTGAACCACACCTGGAGGAGGAAGATGCCTTTTAGCTTCTTATGTTATTGAGCCCAGAGGGGCATTCATCGTTCACTCTTATTGCCTACAACGAGCAAAGTTTCTCCGTGCAAAAAACGAAATGTAATCCAAAAAGATGGTTGGCATATAACAGATGTTGTTGGAAATGTGTGTTATGTGTGTGTGTGTGTGTTTTTGTGTGTGTGTGTGTATGTGTGTATCATGGCTGGTTGCTCAGAGTGTGTGAGGGACATGCCGTGTCCATATGGACGGGGATCATGCTGGGCCTGCTCACACTTCCCATATGGAGCCTGTGGAGCAGTGTTTACTGGACTCCCATCAGAAAGAGGAAAGTCCAGATTAGGCCCATGGGAGCAAGCATGTGTGTATGTGTGTGTGTGTGTGTGTGTGTGTGTGTGTGTGTGTGTGTGTGTGTGTGTGTGTGTGTGTGTGTGTGTGTGTGTGTCATTGTGCTTATTGTGTGGAGCAAAAATAGATCAGCTGGTGGGTTTAAAATCTTCAGAGTGTGTGTGTATGTTTGTTTTGCAACATATGTGAGACCCACATATTGAAAAACAACCTGTTCTGCAAGGACGTTTTTGTTAAGGTGTGTGTGTGTGTGTGTGTGTGTGTGTGTGTGTGTGTGTGTGTGTGTGTGTGTGTGTGTGTTGTGTGTGTGTGCATGTGTGTGCGTGCATGTGTGTGTCATCTTGTAAACACCTTTTGACTCCTGATTTGATGTCATGGTTTCCTGTGAAGCAGCGGTTCAATTTAACACCTTTGAGTTTATAAATCCCAACGGAAATCCACCATATGAATTCCTCAAAAGTATTATTTTATCCCTCTTTAGTTTTTTAAAATATGCTTTTTTTGTACACAAGGATATACACAGCGGTGGAATGTTATTATGTGCATTTACTTTACAATTTGAGGTATTTGTACCTGAACACTTCCTCCTATTTCACTACAGCTTTTTGTAACTATATACATTATACAGATTAAAAAAAGTGAAGTGCTTTAACTTTTGGTGAAGTATATGTTAATGCTAATACTTCTGTACTTTTACCTCAGTTAGATTTTGAATGCATGCCTTTTACTTCTAACAGAGTATCTCTAACCTTTGGCAAAACAATTGTTTACTAATTAACAGATGCAACTACTTTGAAATCCAGGCTGAAGACTTTTCTTTGTGCCGCTGCTTTTAATTGAACTATTCACATCTCACACTGCACCGTCACTTTTATTCGAGCACCTGTGTTATTCATGTTTTACTATGTCTTTCATTTTGGTAAAGCACTTTGAATTGCCTTGTGTTGAAAAGTGCTATACAAATAAACTTGCCTTGTCTAATTGAGTACTTCCACCACCTTTGAGTACACAGCATGTGTTGGGAAAATACTGAATGTCCTCTTCCAATATCCGAGTCCACATGATAACAAAGGTATCCCAACTGTAGCTGTGAACATGACAGGATGTGTGATTACCTGGAAGAGCATCAGGACTGTTTGAGGCAGATGATAGCTATGTGATTAACATGATGATTCGGCCTCTATGGAGAGAGACATCAAGCATGCTCATTTCTGACGTGGAGCTAATCTGAAGTAAACATTGAATACTGCTTTCTATTCCTCCATCTTGTGACTGTGTAACTCCCTCTCTTGGATATCAGCATGTGAAGGACACTGTTCAGGAACTAGTTGATGCTCTGTATGTGATGACTCCTTCCATTCTGGAGAGGATCATGGATCCTGAGATTGAAGCTCAAGCCGGGGACCAGGGATCTCTTTCTAACAGTAAGTGTGTTGTCGTACCTGGACCCTGGCCTCGGTGAGTTTGGCCCTCTGAGCCAGCTCCTCCCGGGTGTAGATGTCGGGGTAGTGCGTCCTCTCGAAGGCCCGCTCCAGCTCCTCCAGCTGCTCCGCGGTGAAGGTGGTGCGGCTGCGGCGCTGCTTCCTCTTCAGGGGGAGATCCGGCTCCGACTCCACGTCCGAACCCTCGTCTGAGTGACTCGCTGCAACAACACAGGAGAAAGAAAATACTTAAACATCACTGATGTACACTCACATGTAATGTAATATACTTTTAAATGTTGGCCATGAGGGTAGTAGTGCAATAGGTCTTCATTGTCAGTAAGTGCGTCTGTGTATTGTGTTTGTGCAAATGGTGTATGACTGATGATGTGTATGTATTTTAATGTTTGTATTTGTACATGTATGTCACTGCAGGACGGAGTCCAGAACACATTTCCTTACAGGGACAATAAAGTATAAAGTATTAGTCATTAGTCAGTTTATTGAACATGTCAGAAACAAAAACAAACAATAATATATATATATTCCCTTTTTTCCTTTTTTTTTTTCTCACTCAAATGAATAATTATAACAAAGTACAAAAAACAAATAATAACAAAAAAAACACAATAATAATTCTCAGACAGTCTCTGTATATCGTATCGTATAGACTGCCTTTGCAAAATCTGCTTTTTTATACAAGGCCTCCAAATGAGCTCAAAACATGCCAGACGTTCGCCTTGTTTTCTTTCGTGCAAGAAAATGCATATTGAGAAACCAGTCTAGCAAACATTCATTAAGACGAACAAAAACTGTCATGATGACAATTTTCTCCCAATATCAGGTGTTTTTGACTTGGCTTAGAAACCAGAGGGTTGCCGGTACAATTCCCAACAAATACAGCTCATGGCTGCTGTGCATATTCAGTATGTAATAGATGGCCTTGATCCTGTCTCTATGATGGGTTAAATGCAGAGACTAAAGTCAACGTGTGTGGTGCTGTGTACATTAGATTCCCATGTTGTCTGCTCTTGAAATGTTATAACTTTTTTCCCGATAACCCCACATACACATCTTTAGAAAAGTCACATCCTAAAGTGAACACCTAATATTTGACAGTCTATTAAAGGGCAAAAATGTTGATGTTGTAGACAAACAGATATTTTTCGCTGATATGAAAGTGGATGTAACGAACCAAGAATATCCACTCTCTCTGTTGCCACTTGTTTACTTGTAGTTTTGTCTCCTAAATGTTGTGTTATTTCCTTTCTTTACACACTCCCACACACACACCATAAGGCTCCATCTTCCTCGTGGTCTTGTGGCCAAACAGACCTCCATTCAGAGGAATATTCTGAGCCTGAGGAATAATCCCACTGGATGAGATTCCCAGGGCACCGCAGGGGGCCGGGCGCACTAAAAGCCACACAAAAGGCTAATTTGGATCCAGGGGCCATTCTCTGAGCGTGTGTGTGTGTGTGTGTGTGTGTGTGTGTGTGTGTGTGTGTGTGTGTGTGTGTGTGTGTGTGTGTGTGTGTGTGTGTGTGTGTGTGTGTGTGTGTGTGACACAGTCAGGTGAATGCCGTCGACTTATCTAAAACCAAGCTGTCTGATTTGTCTGATTCATCACAAGTATTCACAATTAGGCGATTTCTGCAGCGACTTAACTGATACACAAATAACAACAAAGATGGACGCATGATACGCAATAAAGTCTGATATTTTAGAACAAGACTTAAGATATAAGTCGTTAAGTCCTAAAGAGATAAGTCAGAAAAAAATAACTGCAAATCCGTAACAACATAATATTTGGCTCTTTTGCTTGCTAAATGAAAATTGTATCTAAATTGTTTATTAACTCAATATATGTGAACTTAAATGTGATAAATCCATACGTTTATGTATTGAAATATTATTAAGTGTGGTTTTTAAGCCTGACTGAGCCTCTGATAGTATTTCTCCTGACAGCTTTTGTGTTTCCACTCTTCATCAGATCAGTAT